TCTTTATCCATTTGAAGAAATACTAAATCTGTTTTTTGTGAAAGTGAGATGAGTAAAAGCATGTTCACATTTAGTCTAGAACTAACCGTAACTCACTACACTTGGCCGATCTCACGAACTGATTGCAATTTGACGACGTCAACGCGTGACGACGTACATGATGCGTGGGGACATGAATGATTTGGCGTCACAGTCATGTCATCGCCGGTGTGGAAAAGTAATGCATTTCTTTACTAGTTACCTAAAAAGTAATCTGATTACGTAACTCGTGTTACTTGTAATGCATTACCCTCAACACGGCTGGCCACTGACTGTATTATTCACTTACCAAAGATCTTTAAATGAAGAACAAAGATAAACAGCATGCAGTGACTCTACTAAGCTGTGTCAGCAGGAGAAATTATTTATTTTATAAGTTGGCTGGTATTTCTGACATAGGCCTATGACTTATTTATTGCTTGTTTTAATGAACTTTGGTGCCATTTACATTCAGGTATGTATAGTATAGCACTTTTGGGGACGAGTTGAAAAAAAAAATCACTTGTGTCAAGATAAAAACTCAAGTTATTCTTAGATAATGTTTTCATTTTTCTACTCAGAAGCAGATATGTTTAATGTTACACAAAATAATTGTTTTGGCTACTTCTGTAATATTTTCATATCTGTAATTTTGTAGAGCTGGACATTTTAATAAGGATTAAATGAGTGAGTTCAGCTTTGAGAATGAAAACCAACTTGTTTGTTCCTCAGTATCTTCATGTTTGACTCTGAATGTTTCTTCAATCCTCATGTCTTCACTCTCCTCTTTAATAAACTCCATCTTTGTTTGTTCCTCAGTATCTTCATGTTTGTCTCTGAACGTTTCTTCAATCTTCATGTCTTCACTCTCCTCTTTAATAAACGCCATCTTTATAATAGTGGGTCACGTGGATCTCAGCTGCTTCTTCGGGAGTTTTTCTGTGTTTGGACACTTTGTCCTGTTTAAGATGAAAATAATGAACAGAAAGAAAAATAAATCCAAATGGAACATAATTATGGTCTGTGCTTGATCTCACCGATTTCACTGCTAATGTTGCTTTATTTGAGGAATTGAGTTTTTAATATAATTTTGCTGTAGAAGGGAATATGGTTCACTGATTAAAGCTGTACCTGTTCAGTTTCTTCAATTAGCCAAATAAAATGACCAATATCCAGTTACGGCTGTAGGAAACTCAGAAGTGAAGATCAGGAGACTGAGTGACTCTTTGTCAGGTTCTTGATTGAGATGGTACTCTGTGTCACGCTGCAGTCATCAAGACTGACTAAAACACTGAATCACTGTAGTTTTATACTGATTTCAGGAGGCTGTTCTTACAGCTGAAGACAAAGCACTCAGATCATGAGCTTAAACACAGTATGCAAAGCATGTGAGCAGTTCTACTCAGCTCTAAAACAATCAGCAGAACTATAGCACTCATTATCAGAGAGATCAGGGAAAGTCCAGATACATTCACACTTAATTCACATACTGATTAGCATGAGCAATGACAGCAATTAAAGAAATGAGGCATTAGCAACAAGAGCATCACAGCCAAAAGACTGATTTTACTTCTGTATTCACACACCAACAGCAAAAGAGATTCATTTCAAATTTAAACATCATTTATCTTTCTGCTGACTTTTTAGGCTGATTTAATTTTAACCAATATAATTGTCTTTTGCAGTAATTACACTGAACAAAATTATAAACGCAACACTTTTGTTTTTGCCCCCATTTTTCATGAGCTGAACTCAAAGATCTAAGACTTTTTCTATGTACACAAAAGGCCTATTTCTACGGTGGCCCAGAGAGCTCAACGCGCTGCGCAAAAGAGATTCATTTCGAATTTAAACATCATTTATCTTTCTGCTGACTTTTTAGGCTGATTTAATTTTAACCAATATAATTGTGTCTTTTGCAGTAATTACACTGAACAAAATTATAAACGCAACTTTTGTTTTTGCCCCCATTTTTCATGAGCTGAACTCAAAGATCTAAGACTTTTTCTATGTACACAAAAGGCCTATTTCTCTCAAATATTGTTCACAAATCTGTCTAAATCTGTGTTAGTGAGCACTTCTCCTTTGCCGAGATAATCCATCCACCTCACAGGTGTGGCATATCAAGATGCTGATTAGACCGCATGATTATTGCACAGGTGTGCCTTAGGCTGGCCACAATAAAATGACAGCAATAAATAATAAATGTCCAATCATCAAAAAAAAATTGATTTTGAATGAATTAGCAAATTCATTGATGTGTCTGTGTTAGAAAGTAAACATGATTTGGAAGCATTTTGGAGAATATAAATAGTGATTATTCGGGAAACTTTGCATTAATTCATTACAATTCTTTCTACATATAAAGTCAAATGTATCAAGAAGCGACATTTTTTTTTTTTTAAATGTTGAACTGAACTGGAGGTAAATATTCGTTTATAATTATGAATCAAGCATAATAATAAAGTCATTGAGATCATTTTAAATTACATATATTTTTACATGTTTATGTATTTATTACTTTTTATATTTATTATTTTTATTTCCTTTTATATGGGAATATGTACATATGTATGCATTTGACTATTTTTAATCAGTTTTACTATACAATATAGTTCAGCTGTTATTTGTATAAATTCTGCTCATTTCTAACATGCAGGTTTCCTCGTTTTACATCATTTGTTGTCTATCGGTACAGTTTGGATTAAAGAAATAACAATTGGTTGTAAAGCAGAAGAGTTGCTAAGAGAATCTATTCAGAAACTGCACTCTATCTGATCAAAACACCAAGACAAAGGCACTCATGAGAAATAAGTAACATGATCAAAACCACACCACGCATGACAAGAACAGACAAAGAACTGAACCAATATAGCTGTAATCAAGTTTATTAATACAAAATATGACCTGTTCTGCTTCCATGAGCAAAATTTTAAAAACGCATAATTAAACTATCATAGAAAGCTTAATACACATGAGTGATTATGAGGATGTTACGTTAATCAAAATGGCTCTAAACATTTATGCACAAAATTACTCAACCCTCAAAAGTTACATTTTGTAGAAAATCTTGCACTCTTTAAAACCTCCAATAAATGCTGCTTCTATGTGCTTGCAAGCTTTTGAGACTCTACTGCAATCTTGGCCCGTTCCACACTTAAAAATAGTTCCAGCCCTTTTTGGTCCTTCTAGTTGTTGTTTTTTTTGTGTATTCAGTGTTGCTTTAAGGTCAAAATAAAAAATATATATATTTCCAGATCACTGATATGTTCACATTGCCAATGCTTTCTTCAAATTCCACCAAATATTTTCAATGAGATTTAAATCTGGAGACTAAACGGACCACTCAATAACATTAATTTTAGGTGTTTGTGAATACAAATGAAAAATCATTAGAAGTGTCACCTTTTGTCTTTATTACCTCTTGCTGCTTCTGCCCCATTACTTTAAAGGGGTCATATGATGCTGCTAAAAAGAACATTATTTTGTGTATTTGGTGTAATGAAATGTGTTTATGCGGTTTAAGGTTAAAAAAACACATTATTTTCCACATACCATACTGTTTCCATCATACAGTTTATGGTTTCCATGTGTCCCGGCGCGACGAGACAAAACCAATAAAACCCATTGCAAACAAATGCCACAGAGATGCACTAAAAACGGAGAAGAAGACTTTTGGACTATGCGTATAAACCTTGCGCGCGGTATACAAACAAACATGGAACAATACATTTATTAATCTGTGTCAATGTTAGTTAATAAAAAGACAATCGTTCAGTGTTTGTTCATGTTTTTGTTGCTGTTACGTGACGTAGCGGTGTCTGACCAGAGACGTGGGCTGATTACACCATCGTTTCAGAAAATATAACGTACGGATTCGCTGTCCACACGCAAGGGCGCCGTTTTCAAGATTTATCCACTCTGTCTGGGACCCGGTTTTAAAAAATACCGGTTTCACTCTCCCAAAACACCGGATCCGTCTGGACGAAACGCCTATTTATAAGTAACTTATACAGCCGTGCCTCAGTCTCCTGATCTTCACTTCGGAGTTTCCTAAAGGTGTAACTGGATGTGGTATGTGTTTATGGGCTCAAAACTATAACTTCACTAATATAATCAAATTGATGTGTACTTTTTAATACCCTGTGAAGGATATACTTCTACTATATTAGTGTTTCTTACAAACCGCTTAATGCATCATATATTTAGAAACTGAACATCATTCACACTAACAATGAGTAACACCGGAGTATGTTGTCATTTTTTTGCTGGTTGATGAAACTGAACATGTACAGCTTTAATCAGTGAACCATATTTCTTTCTTCTGGAAAAAAAAAGCTAATGTAAAGATACTTGACTTAATTCTTAACTGGAAATATCACAAATTAATTAACAGTGAATTGAGAGCCCTTCACACTTGCTTGTGTAAGCCAGAAGATCTGTGTTATTGATAACTTTAGGAATCTGATTAATCTCTTACAGATCCACGTGACACTATTATAAAGATGGAGGTTATTAAAGAGGAGAGTGACTCTGAATGCTTCATCAATCTTCACATCTTCAAACATGAAGATACTGAGGAACAAACAAAGATGGAGTTTATTTGAAAGCTAAACTCACTCATTTGATCCTTTATTAAAATGTCCAACTCTACAGAAAATGAATGATATTTTTGGTTAAAGGGGTCATATGATGCTGCTAAAAAGAACATTATTTTGTGTGTTGTGATTGGCCGAATACCTCAAGTGTTGAGTGTTGTAATAAAAGTAGTTTTATTTGACATCGCCTCATGTGGACAGACATGTTGAAATCACATGACCCATTACCTTGAAAATGAGCATTGAAACTTTTGAGATTATATTTAACACCTCCTTTTATAGCTTAGTGCGTATAAGATCCACATGTTGTTGGTTTTGATGTTTGTTCATTGTGCCATTAAAATGGTGTTAATTTGGATTTGTCTTTTTTTGCATTAGACCTGATGACACTGAAAGAGGAGAGTCAAGAACTCAGTGTAAAAGAAGATAACTTTCATTCTGAAAAGACACGAAAAAGAGCTCAAAAGACAGCAAATAGACGTTATTTCACCTGCCAACAGTGTGGAAAGAGTTTCGAAGAGCATGGAAAACTCAATTCCCACATGAGGATTCACACTGGAGAGAAACCTTTTGTCTGCCAACAGTGTGGAAAGAGTTTCACTGAAAAAGGAAACCTTAATGTTCACATGAGAATTCACACCGGAGAAAGCCCTTTCACCTGCCAACAGTGCGGAAAGAGCTTCACTCAAAACGTTCACCTTAAAAACCACACGAGAATTCATTCTGGAGAGAAGCCTTACACCTGCAAACTGTGTGGAAAGAGCTTCATTCAAATATCAAACCTTAAAACCCATATGAGAATGCACAGTGGAGAGAAGCCTTACACATGCTCTCAATGTCAAAGGAGTTTTACATATAAACATAACCTTGATGTCCACGTAAGAACTCACACTGGAGAGAAACCTTTCACCTGCAAACTGTGTGGAAAGAGTTTCATTCGAAAACCAAACCTTAAAATCCACATGCGAATTCACACTGGAGAGAAACCTTTCATATGCGCTCAGTGTGGAAAAAGTTTTACATATAAACAACACCTCAAGGACCACATGAGGATTCACTCTGGAGAGAAACCTTTCACCTGCCAACAATGTGGAAAGAGCTTCACTGAAAAAGGAGACCTTAGGAAACACATGAAGATTCACACTGAAGAGAAGCCGTTTACATGTGATCAGAGTTTCGAATATGAAGTTACTCTTTAACATGTACAACCACACCGGTGTGATTATTGTTGAATGTGATTAACTGCTAAATTCAAATATGCTTTCGTGCTTTGGCTGGTGCGGAGCATGAGATGGGCATCGTGCTCAGCGCTTGTTATATGTGTGCTTTAATAAAAACAATTGGAAGCAATAAATTGTGCCTTAAAAATTATGTGCCTTAGTGTTGAGATGAATGAACAAACAAAATCAGAAACTGCAAGTTGTCAACTTAAACAGTTCCTTTGAAACAACTAAACTGCGATTAAAAAAAAAAAAAAATAAATTTGTACAGTATGTTTTTATATATATATATATATATATATATGGGTCATTGACGTAAAAGGATTTGACAAATTTTAAAATACAAAAAGTAATAACATTTTTTGTAGTTGTTCAAACATTAAGAAATAAATTTGTACAGTATGTTTTTATATATATATATATATATATATATGGGTCATTGACGTAAAAGGATTTGACAAATTTTAAAATACAAAAAGTAATAACATTTTTTGTAGTTGTTCAAACATTAAGAATGTGTACACATAAATTAATATTAAAATTTTAAATTAAGTGATTTTAGTGTTTTTTCATCTAGATGAATCAGCCGTAGCCATAATAAAATGTCATGTGGTACGACCATGATTTATATTAAAATTAATTTATTTCCTTAACATTTTTTAGATGTTCTCAGTAAAGTGTTTAGAAACAAAATATTTGCGTTTCTTTTGAGTTTTTGTAAATGAGGTAATTTTTTGTTCTATAATTTCAGTTTCCTTCTTCAATGTAGTTAGCAGACTTATATTTTCTGTAAATTGCATAAAACTGATACAACTATTTTTAAAATACCATTCACTTAAGCATACTGTAGCAGTGATTAATATTTCAGCCACAGAAATTAGATAATTTATTTTTTATTTAATACAGTTATTGCTATTATTGGTCGCACCACATGACACGAAGACCTTACATCATTAAAAATCTATTTAAAGAAACGTGTGAAAAGTGCAGCACATGGCATTACCTGCAGTAATTTTTTAGACCCAGTTATTTCTAAACTTTGCCCAACCTTGGCTGCTCAATTGACTCTTCGCTGGGAATTTGATTAACAGGCAATCTGAGCAATCATAATGCCAAATCTGCCATTTTTGTCCGACAAACAAACCAGACAGGAGAGTAGATTAACGTCGGTGGACTTGAACTTGAAAAATAGTGTATTGACATCTTTTCACAGTTGAAACAAGATACCTTCCGATGTTCATTCATGTTTATTTTGTGCTATAACTAGTAAGAGATGATTGGTTCACATGCCGCTTGAACTGAGGTGCTACAGGGAACTGTCACGACACATTAAAGAGCCACAAAACAGTATTTGTTGTTTGAATTTCTTAAAAAAATTACCAAATATGAACTCTTGAGTATTGAAAGTCTTGCATGTTGGCGCGTTGTCAGTGTCTTCCTTGCTCCGTGATGTATTTTTCACTGCATAAGAACATGATGTATGGCATAAACTCATCTAGATGAATCAGCCGTAGCCATAATAAAATGTCATGTGGTACGACCATGATTTATATTAAAATTAATTTATTTCCTTAACATTTTTTAGATGTTCTCAGTAAAGTGTTTAGAAACAAAATATTTGCGTTTCTTTTGAGTTTTTGTAAATGAGGTAATTTTTTGTTCTATAATTTCAGTTTCCTTCTTCAATGTAGTTAGCAGACTTATATTTTCTGTAAATTGCATAAAACTGATACAACTATTTTTAAAATACCATTCACTTAAGCATACTGTAGCAGTGATTAATATTTCAGCCACAGAAATTAGATAATTTATTTTTTATTTAATACAGTTATTGCTATTATTGGTCGCACCACATGACACGAAGACCTTACATCATTAAAAATCTATTTAAAGAAACGTGTGAAAAGTGCAGCACATGGCATTACCTGCAGTAATTTTTTAGACCCAGTTATTTCTAAACTTTGCCCAACCTTGGCTGCTCAATTGACCCTTCGCTGGGAATTTGATTAACAGGCAATCTGAGCAATCATAATGCCAAATCTGCCATTTTTGTCCGACAAACAAACCAGACAGGAGAGTAGATTAACGTCGGTGGACTTGAACTTGAAAAATAGTGTATTGACATCTTTTCACAGTTGAAACAAGATACCTTCCGATGTTCATTCATGTTTATTTTGTGCTATAACTAGTAAGAGATGATTGGTTCACATGCCGCTTGAACTGAGGTGCTACAGGGAACTGTCACGACACATTAAAGAGCCACAAAACAGTATTTGTTGTTTGAATTTCTTTAAAAAATGACCAAATATGAACTCTTGAGTATTGAAAGTCTTGCATGTTGGCGCGTTGTCAGTGTCTTCCTTGCTCCGTGATGTATTTTTCACTGCATAAGAACATGATGTATGGCATAAACGTGCCATGGTTTGTCGGGCGTAGTAACGGTAACTAAGAGCGGGTCTTTGCGAAGGGTCAGTTTAGAGTAGCGGAAGGTTGCTGGCTCAGGTTCTGAGATGAAATAAACAGCTTTCTTACAGCAGAAAATTACATCTGGAGTTTGTGCTTCACTGCAGGGTCAGAATTAACATGCTGCCTATGGCGAGCGTTTATTTTAATTTGCTTGGCAGTGTAATCTGTTAAAATAGTTATTAATAAATATATTAAATTACTAATAAATTAATAATTACCAAACTAAAATGAAATACTCTAAATTATCTTTTTTTCAATTTTTCTCATATTGTACAAAGATTAGACATAAACCGCCTAAAGTGACCCAAATTGTATACAAATCTATTCCAAATGATACTAAAATGAAGTATTTTGTGTATATAAACCATTAATTGAATATAAAAGCACAAAAACTGCCAATCTGGGACATATCTATAATGTAAAACACTCTGCAGTGGTCGCACCACATGACATTTTCAAATTCAGTCAAAATTTACAAGCACAGAATTATCCACCTAAACAAAACAAGAGCTACCGTGTCCTATGAAAGGTCACTATGAAATCTATAATAAAAATAAATGCTTGTAGAAATAACTTAATATTCATTGTTTTTTTTTTTGAGGTCATACCACATGATATCCAAATGTGGTAACTACATACCAGCCATTAAAAAGGTTATATTTTTCCAAATTTGAGAGAGAGTTACAAACCTGCTTGATGCTTCTATGGGTCCTTGGCAAAATGGTATATGATGCAACGTCCTATCTTTGAATGGATTTCAACATAAAAGTCCCAAAATGGTAGTTTCTTGATGGTCGCACCACATGATATTTCATAAAATGGAGATTATCAGACAAAGTTTGTTTGAATATTATGATGGAAATATAAATACAAATGCTTTGCAATTTTATACAGGATTACAAAACACTTTGGAAATAGTGCAGCAAATTTAAATAAATTTAGGGTAAATTTAGGGAAGGTCGGGACAGCTGGTTTGAAAAAATCGGCGCTTCGCATGACTCTTGTGTTTGACTTTACATTGACTTGGCTGTGTGTGTACACTTATTTAGGATTCAGTTCATAGATACATCCGTAGATGCGCTGGGACACAATCATCAGTGACGTTTCCTGAGATCATTGGGTGTTTTGGGTCTTTCAACATCAGACACCCTCCCTCAGGCGCGACCCAGCTGGGGTTGATCAGGCCCAAACTTGTGTCCCAGCAGCGCTAACCCACTCCTCGGACCTTTTAATCCAAATCCACCTCGATGCTCTTTCTGTGATAGACTTAATAGCTCTCCTCTTTGCAGCTCCTGTGATGCCGAGCAGGGTGAAGCTCTTACACAAGGAGCGGGTGGCGAAGCCTCTGCACCCCACCTCAATGGGTTCACAGCGAGCTTCCAAACCCTCCTCCAACACTCCTCTATGAGCTCCTGATAGTTGAGCCGCTTGCGCTCGTTGGCCTCTTCCATACGGTCCTCCCACAGGACTGTCAGTTCCAGCAAGAGAACCTAAGTCAACCCGCAGTAGAATAGTTTAGAATAACCTCAACACCAGACATAAACTGAATGCACATCACACCTCTATTGCATTTTATCATGTTTTATAGCTGGGGTCTCAGAGACCCTGAACAGCTCACCCAAAATATTGTTGCTACTAACGTCAATTATTAATTATAATCACACACTTGTATATTTTATATTATTGATCAATATGTAAATACGTTGACTGTACTACGCATGACACGAGTTGGCACAGATTAAAAACTTTCAAACCATCCTCTGCTTCGCAATGTTTTGTTAGATTTGGCGGAGAAACCAAGTCTGACCACCAGATGTCGCTAATGCGCACTGTGTTAAAGCTTCGAGTAATGAACCGTTTTTCGGCACAATTTCATGAAAGCCTCAAAACGGTTCAGAAAGCCTCGGTTTCCCATCACTACTCTTTATAACCTCCGATAAATGCTGCTTCTATGTGCTTACAAGCTTTTGAGATTCTCTACTGCAATCTTGGTGTCATGGTACGTGCTGGAGTGAAGACAGAGAGCGCAAGACAAAGACGGTAATCTTAATTCTTTGAATAAATCCATAAGGAATGAAGGAAACGACTGTTTACACCTGGTCATTTCATGTGTTTTCGCTGATCGGATATCTATCTGATTTCTTAAAATATTTCCATTTACACTTGGCCACATAAACGTGTCGTCACAAAACGGATATAAATCCGATCTTAAATTCCCGCGCTATATTTAAATTTAATGGAGTTCACGTCAACGAAATCAAAAGATAAGCGCTGCATTTTATTAATTATCAGCATATTTCAAGATCAAAGCCCGCAATTGGAGAACACATCTGCACTGGAAAAATAAGTTTGTCTTACTACTTTTAATGAAGATGATTGTGTGTTGAATGTCTGGGCATGAAGTGACCAGGTGTAAACAGGCGCATTGAGTAACCACATACAATAACCGGCCACTGAACTTTTGAAAAGGAGGGCTTAAGTACGTGGGTAAATGAGGATAACACAGGTGATGGTGGTTAACTAATAATGACTAAACGATACCAGGAACATAACCAAATATGGGCACACAGGAACTAAATCAGAACAGAAGACAGGAAAACGGCAAACTAAAAGAAACCACAAGCCCATAACTGTGACACTTGGCCCATTCCACACTTAAAAAATAGTTCCAGCCCTTTGTTGGTCCTTCTAGTCTTTGGTTTTCACATTGCCAATGATTTCTTCAAATTCCACCAAATATTT